AGGAGTTTCTCGAATGATCGTGAATTTCCTAGTTTGTTCGGGACGCCCTCTTTTTTAGTATATAAGCCCGGCAAATAAAAAGAAGAGATAGATATGCAGATAGATTAAAGATAGAGATAATTGAGTCAAGCGAACAGTAGGCACCGTAAGTAAAATGTGTGAATCATTGTGATTTATAGTGTGTGTTATAAAAGTTGTTAAGTGTATTACAAAGTTGTATCGAGCAAGAATAAACTAGTTTTAATCAAGAAAGGACTTGTATCGCTGAAGTTCCTCAGAAAGAATTTATACCGGAAATTAAGGTAATTATCAAATGAGCAGATACGTAACAATACTAAACTTTACACATTATATAGGCTACACTAACGTGACGTTTAGGCGGTTCGTCTAACTATTATACGTGATGTACGTTTTTTTTTTGGGAGGTGGTAATGAAAGTGTTCCCAAAACGCGACATAAATTTCTTGACGACCTAATACTTGTAAATAATTTATTTTCGTATTTTATACTGAGTAATATTGTTGTATTTTGTACAAAGTATTATTGTTGTATTTTGTACAAAGTATTATCGTTGTATTTTGTACAAAGTATTATCGTTGTATTTTGTACAAAGCATTATTGTTGTATTTTGTATAAAGTATTATTGTTGTACTTTGTACAAAGTATTATTGTTGTATTTTGTACAAAGTATTATCGTTGTATTTTGTACAAAGTATTATTGTTGTATTTTGTACAAAGTATTATTGTTGTATTTTGTACAAAGTATTATTGTTGTATTTTGGATAAAGTAATATTGTTGTATTTTGTACAAAGTATTATTGTTGTATTTTGTATAAAGTAATATTGTTGTATTTTGTACAAAGTATTATTGTTGTATTTTGTTCAAAGTATTATTGTTGTATTTTGTATTAAAATAAATGAAATAGATCTCTTCATAGGTAATTTGCCTCTTTGAACTACGAGGTAAATCCAAATTATAACATAATTGCCAAATGGACCTACAGACACGTTAATTTATTTAAGAAACTGTACCATTTCATTAGCTTCTATAATTGAGATTTCGCTAGAGAACGACGAGTACTAAATATTCAGTTATTGTAACCTGAAGTCCAAATAACCATAAATTGTTTTTATTATTTTAGTAGAAAACAGTGATGTTTGAGCTAAATTAATTACTTTGAACTTTGGTATTCTTTCATAAAATTTGGAAAATATTTTCTCTACGAATAACCTTGAATCTAGAACAAAATTACATAAACTGATCTAACGTTTTCGTTTTACCAGTGATTTTACTCAGAGTTTGAACCGAAATTCCTAAAACGAGTAAATCATAATTGAGTTCAGCTTAAATGTTTCACAGTCTCTAATGGAAAGCTGCTTACCGCTTGTGTAAGTGTCACGTTCTTTCCACGTTCTACCAGAGGGAAAGCTTTGCGGTTGGATAAAGGATGAGCCTAAAAAAAACCAAAACAACATATTTTTTTGTTTTAAAAATAGTTACTGCTGCGCACTAACTGAAGGTAAAAGTTATGATATGTTTCAATACATAATCTCACAAGTTACAACAAATTAAATACTAACAGATGTGAAGAATACGTAAAAACATAATTGACATCCGCGTAAAAAACACAAATCTAAGTTTCACACATAATTACTATCCAAGTTTATATTCTACCAGCAGCTATATTTCAGCAAAATTTATATGAAAATATGAACTATATTTAAATGTACTTCCTCCACATATTCACAGAAAAAGAAAGCTAACAGATATAGTGTATCAAATACGAAATAACTTCAATCCCTTTTATTTAACATTCTTACATTTACTGCAGTGATGTCGTTATCTTCTTCTTCACCAACATTTCCTTGTAGACTGCAATTTGTATCGTTGCTGGCTTCTTTTAGAAGTTGCAAGAGTTGCTCAACAGGCTCGTTTTTCTCGAAGATTCGCTGGCCACAGTGCAGATTAAGCTCCTTCTCTAGCTGTTGTATTGTCCTGTCTTTAGCTCGAACTTCTCGAAGCTGATATGTAAATAAAATTAAAGACATTAGAGGAAGATAACCTTGTCTAGCGATAGAGGTTTCCACACGTGCTTCAGAGTGTCTGATTATTGGAATTTTTATAAGCTTCAACCGAATGCCTATACTGACCAGGCACGAACCGTTTCGCTTCATTGTCGTTCACTGCAAGTAATTATGCTTTATAACAATTACGCGAAATGAACAAAAGCAAACAGGCTTTAACAGACATCGCGTGCAAAAAAACGTTAAGAATGCGTCTTTTATTGAAATCAATCTTACTAAAAACTTGTTATTGCTGCTAGAAACATCCCTACGAAAGTCCTGAAAGGTATGTTAGTATCGCCTTGTTTTATTTTTCCCACGCTGAAAGACGCCTTGACATCGACAGGTATTCCATTTAAATAAAACTATTTCTTGATCGCCCTAACGGCTAGAACTGAGGATATAATCATAATGAGAACACTATAAGATAATAAAAAAAGTTCGTAAATGATACGCACATTAAGAGATAAAAATGATTAGTAATTACAGACGAAAGGCAAAAGCAAAAATAGCACCAAAAACATGTGGAGATATCATTAAATCAAAGTATTCACAATAAAGAAAGATTTAAGACAAGAGAAATAGAAGCACAATATACTAAGCATAATAAAAAGACAAAATTGCTTATATACATCAAGAAATAAAATACTTCAAACAATACTTAATAATAGATGAAATATAATTTACAAATATTTCAAATGTCTGAATAGATAAACAGTTGATAAGAACATCAGAACCTTTATCAGTAAAAAGCCCCAGTAATTTAACTTTCTGGCAGAGATCTAACTACACTTTGTTTGGTTTGGTTTTGAATTTTGCGCAAAGATACTTGAGGGATATCTTCATTAGCCATCTCTAGTTAATTTTGAAGTGATAAACTAGAGGGAAGGCACCCAGCGCCAACTCTTAGGCTACTCTTTCCCCGATGAAAAGTGGGATTAATCGTCTCAGTATGATGCTCCCACGGCTGAAAAGGCGAGCTTGTTTGGTGACGGGATTCGAACACGTGACCCGTAAATTGCACGTCGAGCGCCATATTTATCAGGCCATGCTAAGCTCGAAACTATATTTTAATGAAAAGTTCGAGATATTAATGCAATACGTTACCATCAAGTTACTTTATCCAGGAGGCTTAACCGAACTTTATTATATATTTACATATCTATATCAACATAATAGTACTGTCTGATGTATGTTCAAGTAACTACTTCGCAGGATGTGGATGGATCTTCGCCAAAATTGGCATGGAGGTTCATTAGGTCCATGCGGGGGTACATGCAAATCTGCGGTTTCACATTTTGTGTTTTGCAGCTTTCATAAGCGTTATTGCGTTTTTTACAATTACATATAAGGGAAGCAACTTTTCATGTCCTAAGATAACCTTTCACTAGTCATGAATTTACATAACTTCCGTCCTGAAGACAGGTACTCCATCTAGTCATAAAATAACATTAAAGAAGTGGTAACTATTTAGTGTTTCAAACATACTTCAGTTTTCTACGTATTTTATCCTAATGACTTCAGAGTTTAATCGCAGGGATAAATCTTGAACTACTTATCATATCCTGTTGACTTCTGAGTGTAATCACTAAGATAAATCTTGTTTTACTTATCTTATCCTGACGACTTCTGATTGTAATCGCAAGAATAAACCCTGTACTACTTATCTTATCCTGTGGACATTGAGTGTAATCGCAATAATAAACCCTGTACTACTTATCTTATCCTGAGGACTTCTGAGTGTAATCGCAAGAATAAACCCTGTACTACTTATCTTTTCCTATGATTAAGAGTTTAATCGCAAGGATAAACCTTGTACTACTTATCTTATCCTGTGGACATCTGAGTGTAATCGCAAGAATAAACCCTGTACTACTTATCTTATCCTGAGGACTTCTGAGTGTAATCGCAAGAATAAACCCTGTACTACTTATCTTATCCTGTGGACATCTGAGTGTGATCGCAAGAACAAACCCGGTACTACTTATCTTATCCTGAGGACTTCTGAGTGTAATCGCAAGAATAAACCCTGTACTACTTATCTTTTCCTATGATTCAGTGTTTAATCGCAATGATAAACCTTGTACTACTTATCTTATCCTGTGATTCAGAGTTTAATCGCAAGGATAAATCCTGTACTCAGAAGACAAAGATTTTAATCCCAGTAACGAACAGCGTTTACACAGAAAGTCTCAGTAACTGTAGTTTTTTTTTGTTGTTGTTGTTTTAGCGCAAATCTTTACAATGGGCTATATACACTCTATCCACTGCGGAGGATCGAACCTCGGATTTTAGCGTTGGAAGTGCGTAAACTTACAGCTGACCCACTTTAGTAGACAAGTTGCTAACAAATATATATACACATGCCCCTATTTATGTTGCTTTTGTGAAACAGGCATTTTTATTTCATTCCGAACACTGTAGAGGTAATATAAATGCTTCTACAAAGTATATGGCATAGCAAAACACATAACGTTCTGTCTGCCCCAGAACATCACATGTAGATATAACAGTAAAAAAAGCTTTAATTTAAGTAAAAACTGCAACTCAAATCATAATATCTTTACTCTGGCAGATAGTTAGTTTAGCGTAAAATGTTTTAACCCGGTGTAAATACCGAAACTGTCTGATTCTGGTATAAGTTCTTATCTCCGGACTCTCCAACAAAACTACATGTTTTGTTTCCCCAAATCAGGTACTTGAACGATTTGGGGCTCGGGCTCATAAGTGCGGGAATTTTCGGCGTTTTAGTATGATATCTATCATGGTTTTCTATTCTGATTTTTTCAGACATCAACTGGGGACTCGGGGCACGGGCTCCGTGTGCCACTACTTATCAACGCCTCTGCCCCAAACATTGATACAATATACAAGAAATGATCACATATAATCACAGAAACTAGTTCGTCTATAACATAGTGATAACTGTGTATGAATACGTTACATACACAACAAAGGAAGGAATTACAATGTAATTATGGAATCAATGGTAATATTAAAATACATTAACAACTATAAACAATCTTCTAGTTGTTTACTCATTCTTTTACTGATACAAGAGAGTAAAATTTCGACAAAAAGAATTATTAACGGGACATTTTAACACCTGCCACACGAGCCATCTTGATGTGGTTCAAAAATAAATGAGTCATTCCGGAAAGGTTTGGGTTGTTTTGATTGGACAAAAGAAGACTATTTTCGAGGTCTAAGTCGCTGGATCAGACCAGTGACCACAAGAGCCAACATGGAAAAGTTAACTTGTAAATGTAAAGTAAAACGATGTATCAATGGAACATGTTTGAAATGTTCTAGATGTGGTTGTAAATGCGATGATTTAATTGTAGCGATTAAGCTAAACCGTTGGTTCAGGTGGGATGAGGGAAGATATCGCAGTCGAATTGACATTTGTTTGTTTGTTTGTAATTAAGCACAAAGCTACACGATGGGCTATCTGTGCTCTGCCCACCAGAGGTATTGAAACCCGGATTCTAGCATTGTAAGTCCGCAGACATACCGCTGTGCCACTGGGGGGTCGAACTGACATACCGGCTGAATCGGAGATTCATCAATTAATTACTACAGTGACAGCGAAACAAAAAACGGGACAAGAATATCGTTATCTCCACCACAGTATAGTCCATATAGATTTCATCATGTCGTATAACGTCCAGTATAGTACTCCACAGTATAGTCCATATAGATTTCATCATGTCGTATAATGTCCAGTATGGTACTCCACAGTATAGTCCATATAGATTTCATCATGTCGTATAATGTCCAGTATGATACTCCACAGTATAGTCCATATAGATTTCATCATGTCGTATAATGTCCATTATGGTACTCCACAGTATAGTCTATATAGATTCCATCATGTCGTATAATGTCCAGTATGGTGCTCCACAGTATAGTCTATATAGATTTCATCATGTCGTATAATGTCCAGTATTGTACTCCACAGTATAGTCCATATAGATTTCATCATGTCGTATAATGTCCAGTATGATACTCCACAGTATAGTCTATATAGATTTCATCATGTCATATAATGTCCAGTATAGTACTCCACAGTATAGTCCATATAGATTTCATCATGTCCTATTTTCATTAATATTTAGATTTTTTTATTTCCTTTTGGAAGTTGTGTCGAGCTTCGTTCATCGAGATCTACCGAAATAACCCTAAATCACCGTTATTCGGAATGACTCCTATTGACCATCCATGTTTGAGTGCATCCTCAGCTTTGTAAACATGCTGTTGGTACACTGTTTGAATGTTTCTCGAGTTGTGTTTAAGTAGTTCCTTAATTATGTAACCATATATTTAGAACACTGTTTAAATATCTCCTGAGTTGTGTAACCATACGTGTGTAACACGGTTTAATTATCTCCTGAGTTGTGTAACCATATATGTTGAACACTGTTTACATATCTCCTGAGTTGTGTAAACATACATGTGGAAAACTGTTTAAATATATACTGAGTTATGTAACCATATTCATGGAAACTGATTAAATATATCTTGAGTTATGTAACCATATACGTGGAAAACTGTTTAAATGTATTCTGAGTTATGTAACCATATACGTGGAAAACTGTTTAAATATCTCCTGATTTATGTAACCGTATATTTCGAACACTGTTTAAATATCTCCTGAATTACGTAACCATATATATGGAGTACTGTTTAAATATCTCCTGAGTTCTATTAACCACGCTGGTGGGACATTGAATGTCTCCTGAGTTATATAATCCTACTGGTGGTACACTGCATGTGTCACGAGTTCTGTAACCACGCTGGTGGGACACTGAATGTCTCCTAAGTTCTATAACCACGCTGATGGTACAGTGAATTTCTCCATAGTTATATAACCACGCTGGTGGTACACTGAATGTCTCCTTAGTTCTGTAACCACGCTGGTGGTACACTGAATGTCTCCTGAGTTATATAACCACGCTGGTAGTACACTGAATGTCTCCTTAGTTCTGTAACCACGCTGGTGGTACACTGAATGTCTCCTGAGTTATATAACCACGCTGGTGGTACACTGAATGTCTCTTGAGTTCTATAACCACGCTGGTCGTACACTGAATGTCTCCTTAGTTATATAACCATGCTGGTGGTACACTGAATGTCTTCTGAGTTATAACCATGCTGGTGGTACACTGAATGTATCCTGAGTTATATAACCATGCTGGTGGTACACTGAATGTATCCTGAGTTATATAACCATGCTGGTGGTACACTGAATGTCTTCTGAGTTATAACCATGCTGGTGGTACACTGAATGTATCCTTAGTTATATAACCATGCTGGTGGTACACTGAATGTCTCCTAAGTTATAACCATGCTGGTGGTACACTGAATGTCTCCTTACTAATGATCTTCCTTAAAATTCTGCTTTAGATTTTAATATTTAAGGATGGTAGATTCAAAACGTAACAATCCGATATTTCTCGACGTATTTTAAATTTCGAAACATTAAAATGTATGGTAACAACAGTCAAGAAAAGGAACGCAGATAGTAACAGAAGATAATTTATGACGTATCATAACAGCTGTTTGCATCACACACAACTTAAGATGAAGTTACAAGATAAAAAACCAAACATATAATATTTTATAACCTTGAATAACATGTTAAAACACAAAGTGTCTTAAAGTTTTTGATAACATGTTAAAAACTTGTACTAATATATGTATATAAATTTAACTTCTTAAATCAATAGATGACATGATTCCGGCTTACAAACTAAGACAGATCACAGATCATTAGGAAGCTAAACACACTTTGGTAAACCTCGAATCATTAACAAGTTCAACACAATTAATTACACTTCAGATTATTAGGAA